GGCGTGTGTGTGTTAGGGCAGCGTGCACACATGTATGGGCGTGTGTGTCAGCGCAGCGTGCACACGTGTATGGGCAGCGTGTGTGTGTGTCAGCGCAGCGTGCACACGTGTAAGGGCAGTGTGTGTTTGTGTAAGGGCTTCCTACAAGTTCAGCCAGTGCCATGCGCGTGTGAACAGGACCCTGCAGCCCCACAGCACAAACCTCAACGGCTGGGGCTCACAGAGAAGCACTGTCAGGAACGGGGGCTGGGCGGGGCCCTAGATCCCCCGGCGCGAGTGGGCCAGGAGGGGCCCCTGCCGACCCGTGGCACAGCCAGAAGGGTCCTTTGCTCCTACCAGCCTGTTCCCTTCCTGCTTGGAGCCCTGGGAGAGGTTTCCCGGAGAGGGGTAGATGGGTGGCATGGGGATTGGCAGGGACCCAGCCGCTTCCCAGCCACCAGCACTCCCAGGTGTGTGTGTGTGGAGCGTCGGGGCGGGGGGGTGGGTGGGGGGGGGCTCGTCCTCCACACTCCTGTGCTGGGTCCCGCTTCCTCTCTCACTTTTTCATTTTCTCCATCCCACCCTGCGCCCTTCATCTCCTGCTGGCTCGCCCAGCCCACCCCTGCTCCGGGGAGGGGAGCCAGCCCGCACGCCCGCCCCCAGGCTGGTCTATGCCACCGGCACACATGGGGCAGGCCGGCCCAGCCCAGCCCAGGGACCAGGCGACTGAGACCAGGACCAACATTTTACAGGCCTTGCCAAGGATGCTCAGGCCAGGCCCAGTCCCCGTAGGCCTCTTGGGTCGTGCCACGGCACCCCTGCCCACAGCCCAGCAGGGAAGGTGCCGGGCACACAGCAGGCCTGGCAACGCACCGGCAGGCCCAGCCCACTTACCAGCGAGTAGCCGAGCTCCACCTTGAACTCCTCCTTGGCTCGCAGGATCAGCTGGGTCTGGAAGTGCTGGTACTCGGGGTTCTGGGGTTCGTGGTAGGTGATCACCAGCACCGTCTGCAAGGCAAAGCACAGGCCACTGCCTTGTACCCAGCAGCGAACCCACCCTGCTGGGGCCAGGGAGGGGAGGGCGACAGCCCCACTCAGAGAGGGGTGCTCTGTCTCAGGGCCCCAGGGGTGACCACGTGGGAATTTTCTGTAACATTTTTATGCAGTCTGTGTGTGCCTCAGTTTCCCCTGTGTGCTGCAGTGTTACCTAGTGGGTAGAAAGGCTTGGTGCTCTCTGCAGCGGCTCAGAGAGTCAGGTGTGGATGGTTCCCTGCAGTCTGAGGCTTGGGCCCCATATCCAGGGAGTTTGTGAGAAGACAATGGCAACCCCAGTCACTGGGACTTTGATGCCTAGCAACCAGCGGCCATGGACGGCTACCTCTCACCAGGAAGCCCAGCAGCATTTGCCCAGCTGGAGAACAAAGGGCTGGGGAGGTGCCAGGGGGTGGTTAAGGGCTGGCTGCTGAGGGCTTGGGGCACACACCGACTGGGACACAGCGGTCAGGGGCCAAGGCTTGGGGCTCTGGGCGGATCTGACCAGCTGTAACTTTCTTTTCTCTGGGCTAACCAAGGACGCCCTATGCTGTGAGCTAGTCGACTAATAACCCCGACTGTCTGCCCCCGCTGGCGGAGTGTCCCTGCAGACGCTGGTGGAGGGGTGCGTTGCTCCCCAGGATCGGACAGGTCTGCCTCGGACTCGCTGAGCGGAGCTCACGGGGTGGAGCAGGGAGCTGCAGGCCCAGGGGTCCAGCCTAAGGAGGTGGAGAGGCCGCGTGGCTCACCCTGGAGGAAAAGTGACACTCTAGGGGGTCTGGCACATGATGGGATCCCTGCAGAAGCTGTTCCAAAGTTGGGGTCATAGCACCGGTCCTGTGGGTCTGACACCATGTGCCCCCTGGAGTCTCCCGGAATCCCCCCCACGGGTGGTGTCCCACGCCCTGTGGCCTGCTCCTGAGGGAGAGGGCACTAGGCCAGGCTCCCCACAATCACTGAAGAGGGAATGGCTTTGGTGGGGGCCCCCAAACCCAACCCCAGGCATGGACCTGGAAGCCCTGGTGCAGTCCCGACCCCTGACCCCCAGGCTAGCATAGGCCTGACGCTGACTCCAGCCCCGGCCTGGCACAGGTCCGACCCCTGACCTCTAGCTTGGCCTGGCGTAGACCGACCCCTGACCTCCAGCCCCAGCCTGGTGCAGTCCCGACCCCTGACCCCCAGCCTGGCATAGGCCCATGGCATAGGCCCAACCCCCAATCCCTAGCCCGGGCCTGTCCCGACCCCCAGCCCTAGTCCTGACCCCTGACCTCAGTCCCGGCCTGGCATAGGCCTGACCCCTGATCCCAGCCCTGGCCTGGCATAGGCCTGACCCCTGACCTAATCCCGACCCCTGACCCCCAGCCCCCAGCCCCAGCCCGGCGTAGGCCCGACCCCTGACCTAATCCCGACCCCTGATCTCAGCCCTCACCTGGCGTAGGCCTGACCCCCCAGCCTGGCATTGGCACGATGCCCAACCCCCAGCTCCAGCCTGGCATAGGCCCAACCCCCAATCCCTAGCCCTAGTCCTGACCCCTGACCCCCGGCCCTAGTCCTGATCCCTGACCCCAGCCCCGGCCTGGCATAGGCCCGACCCCTGACCTAATCCCGACCCCTGATCTCAGCCCTCGCCTGGCGTAGGCCTGACCCCTGACCCCAGCCCTAGTCCTGACCACTGACCCCCAGCCCAGTGCCATGTGGGAATTTTGGTAATATTTTTATGACCCCCATGTGAGCCTCCATTTCCCTCTGGACGTGGCGTGGCCAGGCTCTGCGTGGAAGGGAAGGGAGGAGGTGCTGACTCAGCAGTCCGGCTGGAAACCAGAGTCATTCACATGAATAAAGCCCACAGGCGTGTGAGTGGAGGCTCCAGAGAGCCCCAGTGGCG